GGGCGGGGGAGTGGGTGGTTGTGGGCGTGGGGGGGGGGGGGGGGGAGCCGAGCCTCCTCGGCTTCGTGTCCGTGCTCCTGAGTCTGGAAAGAGGCAGGAGGCGATTTGAGCTAAGTGAGCTTTGCAACTGCAGCCCCCAAGAAGTCCTCCATAGAGCACGGAGCAGCACGTGGTTGCTTTGCTCCAGGTTTGTGTTAAGCCCCCCTATAGCCTTGAACAGGGAAAATACATTTTTTTTGTAATAGAAATGTGTGGGCTCGGCTTCGTGTCCGTGCTCCTGAGTCTGGAAAGAGGCAGGAGGCGATTTGAGCTAAGTGAGCTTTGCAACTGCAGCCCCCAAGAAGTCCTCCATAGAGCACGGAGCAGCACGTGGTTGCTTTGCTCCAGGTTTGTGTTAAGCCCCCCTATAGCCTTGAACAGGGAAAATACATTTTTTTTGTAATAGAAATGTGTGGGATGTTCTTTGAAAGTGCCTCAAGGCAGACGTTGTTGTAGCCTTGTTGGTGCTGGGATATTGGAGAGACATAAACAGAAGATCGTGCTCTGAAATTCCATGGAGTTTTATTGCAACTTTTAACCCTGTCATTTTTCTACAGAATCTTCTCGATTTAAAAGTCTTTTACAGGACTTTTCCACATCGGCGCTGGAAGTGTTTTCCATTATATTCAAGGTTACAGTTGGATTCAGCGGCTCTCAGCATCTTCACTATACAAATTGTTCCATTGTCCCTGCTTTTCCATGAAGCAGCAAAACTATTTCTACCCACATCTACGCAGAGGAGAAATTATATTACTAATACGTTAGAGAGGACGCTAACCAAATACCTGTAGATTGGGAGCTGGAGGGAGTTCCATCATCTATCCTACATGACCTTTATCATAAACAGGATGAAAAAGCACAGTACAAAACCCCAGACATCTTAAGGTGTGCACATTAAACATTCAGTTCTGAATTTCATGGCTTGAACCCATCTGCTCCAAAGCTAAAACAGAACATGCAAACAGATGCAGTGCACATTTCCATACATCATCCCCGTGTGCCTTGCATTTTAATGGGAGGGACCGCTGCTAGAGCTAACAAGGGAGTTTAGCCCATTTGATCAGGGACTTCTACTGGAGGCCACCAGAGCCTCTTTTCGGCCACCAGGGCCTCAGCAGAGGGCTGGGAGCATATTTTAGACCACTGGTACTTAACCCACAGCCTGCAGCCCAATTAGCAAACAGCTGTGGCCCAGCTGTGTACTAAAAGCTGCTGGGTCTGTGGCGTTGGGGTTTGGGCTGTCCCACTGCTTGAAGCAGTGGGCTCTGGGGCCATAGCTGCCCTGCCACCCTACCTGGTGTGGCAGAGTCTGGTGTCCAGGCCTCCCTGTGGCCCCCTCCAGAGTCATGGCTGCTGGGCTACCCTGCCCCACAGGGTAGGGACTGGGCTGACTCTGCTCTGCTGCCTGGCTCCATGCTACAGGGTCCGGGATTGGGGATGTGTCGTCCTGCTGCCTGGTGGGATCTGGGCTTTGGGCTGTGCTTCTTGGCCCTATACCTTAGGGTCCAGGGTAGAGGACCCTGTCCTGTTTCCCAACCCCATAATGTGACATCAGGGGTCAGGGCTGCCAAGCCGTACTGCCTGGCCCCACACTGTGGGACCTGGGGTTGCTACCCTGTCTTGCTGCTGGGCCCTGCGTCGCAACATCTGGGGCCAGGAACACCCTGCCCTGCTCTCTGGCCCCATGCTGAGAAGTCTGGGTTCAGGAGTGCCATGCCCTGCTGCCCAGCCATGCACTTCAGAGTCTGGAGTCAGAGCTGCACTGCCCTGCCCTGCCACCTGGTGGAGATAGGGCTGTCCAGCCACCTTACACTGCCACCTGCAATAGTGCTGGGTCTGGGCTGCCTTGCTCTGCTGCCCAGTTATGTCCGGGGTAGGGGCTGACAGGTAGGGGGACCATAGTAGGAACTGCACAGTGGCCCCATCATTTGGGTTTGCTCCTGGCCCCAGTCTGTGGAGGGGTCTGTGGGCAGGCCAGGATGTGGGGCATGGGGTCTGTAGGTGGGCAGCACTATGGCTGTCAATCTGTGGTCCAGGTAGCACAGTGTGGGCCACATAGCGCCCACCCTGGTAATGAGGTTGAGAATCACTGCTTTAGACCTTCTGAGTGGTGGGCTATTTGTGGGGTTTTATGGTGTTAATAATGTATTCTTCATTTTGAGAGATTTAGACCCACGAGTCAGTTTTTGTGGTTGAGAGGGTTTCTAATGGTAAGGCAAGAGGCTGGCAGGGTAAGAAATCATTAAAATGAGACTCTTATAGGATGGAACCTATGGACTAGCCTCCGTGGCAGGGAGTTTGGTGGCATTAGACATGTGGACAGTATGTGGCATGAGGGGCCAGTAAGTTTTGTAGAAAGTGAGTGCTATCTTCTCTCTTTTTGAGGATTGATCTTAAAACTGAGAGTGGGTGGATGAGAGTATTGTACACCTTGGTGTGAGAGGGCCTGGCTTATCGGGGAAGAGGTCTTGAATTCTTTTCTCAGTGGGATTGATGGGTTAGGATGCAGAGACCAAACCCGAGAGTGATTATGTTATGTTCCTCTCCATTTGGCCAAAGTGGCAATGTAGTTATGGAGAGAATGACCCAATGACTATGGAAATGGGGGGGAAGGGAAGAGAATTTTTCTTGTTTTGAGAAGGTTTGGCACTCTAAGGCTATGTCTATACTTGCGGCTTCTTGAGCGAGAAATATGCAAATGAGGCTAAGCGTGGAATATCGCCGAGCCTCATTTGCATACCTAATGAGCCACCATTTTGCAGAACAGGCTCTTGAGCCAGAAGGAGCTGTCTATACTGCCCCTTCTTGCAGAAGAAAACCCCTCTTGCGCAATGCCGTTATTCCTGAAAATAATCAGGGTAGTGGCATTGCGCAAGAGGGGTTTTTTGCGCAAGAAAGGGCAGTATAGACAGCTCCTTCTGGTGCAAGAGCCTCTTCTGCAAAAATGGTGGCTCATTAGGTATGCAAATGAGGCTCGGCGATATTCCACGCTTAGCCTCATTTGCATATTTCTCGCTCAAGAAGCCGCAAGTATAGACATAGCCTTAGAGTGCCAAACCTTCTCAAAACAAGAAAAATTCTTTTCCCCCCTCCCCCATTTCCATAGTCATTGGGTCATTGTCCCCATAATTACACTGCCACTGTGGCCAAACGGAGAGGAATATAACATAATCACTCTCGGGTTTGGTCTCTGCATCCTAACCCATCAATCTCACTGAGAAAAGAATTCAATGTGAGATAGTGAATGTGCAGTGGGTTAGGAAGGGTATGGTATATGGGGAGGAATTTTGTTCAGATGTCTTTTTGAGCACCTAGATGTAAGACCTTGATAACGACCGTCAAATGGTCAAGAGAATGGAATAACACAGGGACTACGAAGGCCCAGCAAGGAGTGTAGATGTGGGAGTTTGGAGTCCTCAGTCCCTCTGGTAGCTGGCAGTGGGAGACCAGATGATAATACATTTGTAAAGAGACTGCATATGCCAGGAACAAAAGGCTTCATTTCTATTCCTCTGGGTTTCTCAGGTCAAGTTCTCAAAAAACAAGGATCCTAGTTTTCTGTTCATGATGATTATGGCTTAGTCAGTGAGAAATAAAACATCAGCTAAGATTTGTTAAAAAGTGAATGCCCTGACTACCAGGTGATGATGGCAGCACAAAGGGCTGGGTTCCATTTTCTAGAGGTTTTCTTAGAAACTGTACTAAGCCATCTGGAGTTCCCACCTACAATACTGCAAAACTATATCCTGTCCCAATGGCACCCTGATGAACAATACTCCCTCTCCTCTCCCCCGCCCCGGTAAGCATTGAGACCAGGGCTTAAAATAAAGATAAATACATTAAGGGAGATACCAGGAGGTTGGGGGCTGATACCACAATACACTTTAAAACTAGCAATTGACTAATAGAAATTCTTTGGGGTAACACTCAGCCTCAGTACTCCTGGCAGTTTTATCTGTTGGTATGTTCTAGCCAATTCCCCCCTTCCCAGCTCTCCACCCAGTTGGCTGCCCTGAGCAGGAAAAGTTCAAGGATCTTGGCAGTTCTGAAGGCTCTGACATGTGAGTTGATTTCAGTTTCATCTGCTGGGTAGGAAGGTTTTCACCACAATCAGTAGCTAGGCTGCAGCACTGTCTGTGCCTTCAGGCCAAGCTTGCCCAGCTCTGTCCTGGCCATTGTTAGTTCTCTTCCTTCCAGAGGCAACTGGTGAGGAGGAATCATGGAGTCCGCTGGCCACGTGACACTCCCCCAGGCAGCCTGTGGAAGGGCCAGGACAACTCCCTCCACCCCAGGCCCTGTTCTGTCCCTGCCCTGCCTCTTCTCCCATCAGTTGCTGGCCAGCCCCTCCTGCCCACAGTGCTTGGGGTACACAACCCTTTGTGCCCCCATGTGCTGCCCTCTGCTTCCATCCATTCTCTCAGATCTGCCATTGCCACCCTGGGCCAGCCATCACCTCAGAGCTGCTGCCCCTATTGCATTTTGTGTTGTCACTTCAAAGCTTCCACTGCCTGCATCATCCACTGTTCTGAAGCAGGCTCTGTTCAGTTATTTAGAGAGGCATTGAGGCACTAAGGGATCCTTAATGGAGGCCTCACCATTAGAGAGGCCCTCCATGCAGCAGCAGCCACCCCTCCCTTGCTGGCTTTTGGCTCCCTCACCGAACTGTGCCTGACAGCAGTCCAGTGAAGGTGGCCCCAGACATATTTTTTGTCTTGTCCTCACATTTCCCAAAAAGGTCAGTAGCATTTTGGGGCCCTCAAACTCAACATTTAACTGTGTTTTAACCAAAATGCCTCAATCTGTCAGATAAAAATGGGAGTCAGGCACATTCAGTCAGTTCCTTTGGCAGAGTTCCATCCCCCAGTGGAGCCCCTGCCTATCTGCAGTTCTCATGCAGCTC